AGGCCTGGCTGGGCAGCGCTACCCAGAAGGCACAGGTCAGTCTGGAGGCCTCTGATCTCCCCCCATGCACAAGGGCCAAGAAAGGCAAATGGTAATTTCCCCAGAGCCCACTAGGTCGCACATCTGTGGCCAATGCCACAACCTCCTCCACTCGCCACACAATCTCTTTCCCCTCTTTCTCCCTCACTTTTTCTTCTGTCTCTGCACACACACATGTGCACACGCACTCACACACACTGCAAGTCCTGTCCTCCTGAGTCTGCCTCTTTGTTGTTTAGTTTAGCTAGTTTGTTTCTTGGGCTGGAAGATGTGCAGAGAGCCCTCCTGGCCGTGTCACCTTGTCCGCGCTGCGCCGAGGCTGCCTTGGCAGTGAGGAGAAGCAGGGAGGTGCCCTTCTCCACCACCAACACAGCCAAGAGTCAGCCCTGCAGGAGCCAGACAGGGCCCAGCAAGCGGGCGGGCTCTGGCGAATAGAAGCTGAGCGTGGCACGGTGACAACACAACCACAGAGGGTCACAATATAATCATCGGCGCTCTTCTCAGTCACCAAACTAGCCAAGCTGCAAACTGGATGGCCAGGACCCGGCTGGTCAGAAAGGCCCAATGTCCAGCTGCCTGGCTATCTGTAATACAGTCAAAGGATGCAGTCAAATGGATGGCTTTGTTAACTGGCAATAGATTCAGGAACAATTGAGTCAGGCAAAGGGACTGGGCTCCAGACCCAGGGGTGCCCAATAATATATCTGCCCCCCATCAGCAGAGGCCTCATCCCCTCCTCAGACACAGTTTGGGTTTCCTTTCTTATGCAAGGAACAACCCAATGGCTCCTTTCAATTCCTGGAGTCTGTGAGGCAAGGTCCGTCTGCATCCCCACCCCGACCCATAGACACATCTCTCTCTTCTTTTGCAAACAGAAAATGGCTCAGGGATACCAAGAGTGAACTGGGTTCATGTTTGGTGTGACGAGGAGCTTCTTGTCCTTGAAGGTGCTTCCATGGCAAGAGGGACAGTCCCAGGACTGTCCCTGAGCGGGATCTCCCTTCCGTAGACATTGTTCAGCGCATGGGCAGGCACAACCCAATACCTGGCTGTGGTCTCCCTGGAAGCCGGGGCTGACACCAGCGCTTAGCCAGGGCTAAGAGCCACTTCACACCGTGCTTCTCTGACCCTGCAAGGCCACCCTCTGACACGTGGGTCACCCAGAGTGCTGGGTTAGGTTTGGATGAAGTCGCGAGCTGACTCTGAGTCAGATTGGATGGGTCAGCCCAACTGTTAGGGTTGAGATCAAAAATGACCCCCAAAGCTTCACGTGTTCCGAAGGCAAATGAATTACAGGGATGCTATAGCGGTCCTGCTGTCCGGAAATGGGGTCAGCCGGGAAAGACAGGTCGCTGGTTGGGGGGAGGCAGGATTTGGAAGGGTAAATCTCCCTCACTCCCTCTCTTTCTCTCTCTCTTTCCCTCCCTCCTTTCTGACTACCATGGTGTGAGCAGCTCTTCTTCTCTATGTCTCTCCTTTACGCTGCGAGTGTTTGGTATTGCGCCTTAGTGATGAAGAAAGCGGCTAAGACACCAACAAACCCTTCAAGATCTACTTTCTCAAGTGCACTGTGACAGATGGTGAAGTGAGGCCCACCTGGCTTCAGGGGACGGGAGGGAGCGCCACCTAGTGGCGAAAAAGAGGAACCTCCCTGGGCTCACCGGGACTCCGGCTTTAGAGACACTGAACTACTGTACACTTCAACTGCTTTTCCACTTCTCAAGGGCTCCTGTAAATATCGTACAACTGAAAATGGTGACTCCAAGCCAAATGAATGAGGTCCAGGATAACGCTATTAATCCACCCGGAGCTTCCAAACTCAGTGTACCTGACAGACGCCTGGATCAGCCTTGGACACCGAGAGAGCCCACAGAGACTGCCCAAAGGGGCCAGCTGAACGGTCAGCGACCACCATCCCAAGGAAGGCGTTTCGTCGTAGGGAATCAGGAACTCAGAGTGCAAGTCCCTCCCACCCGTGTAAGAAAGGCTGAAGTTCCTTAGAAGTGTGTGAACTCGCACCCATCCATTTTTAGCAACTTATATTTAGAATATTACTCAATTAGAGTAAACACCAGAGAAATTCATTTGCGTGAAGCCATTTATGAGGCAGATTTTGCAGAGAATCTCTAAAAGCACCACTCCCACGTTCCCATTTCCTAGATGAGAAGAGTGAGGCTGTGGGGCTAAATGATCATTCAGACACGTCAGAGTTACGGGGCGGGGGTTAGGACCCTACATCTTCTGGAAATGTTTATTATTAGTACTGTATGTTCATGAAACACAGTGAATGCATTCATTGTGGGGGGTTGGTGCACATACATTTTGTATCTTAGTCTTTTTTATTTCCCTTTTCTCTTCCCTTTCCTCTCCCTCCAACCCTAGATCCCCTCCCATCCCCCAAAATTCTTGTTTCCTATCCTCTTTTATTTTATTCAGAAAGTTACTTATCCTTTGAGTTTCTTGTGTAAGAGAAACCATGCAATATTAACCTTTTGTGCCTGATGATTTTGCTGTTGTTTCTTTTTTGTTTTCTTATACGTACAACCCGTTTCAAAAGTCTTTCTAGGGAACAAGTCGTTAATGTGTAAAACTTGTTAGTACAAGATACCCTTGATACGATGAGAAAGGAAAAGCAAAGGAGCAGACAAAAGCGCTCACTGTTACAAAACTAAAAGGCATTCTGAGCATGGGCTCTTCCTCCCTTTCTGGGGCCTGGACTTATCCCATGGTATTCTGGACGCTGAGTGGATCCAAAAGACTGGAAGGATCTCACAAGACTCCAGCAAGTGTTTGTTCTGCATCACAAAAGGTCAGAGCTTCAGACAGGGACACAACCTGGATTTACAAGCTTTAGCCACTTGGAATAATGGCTTTGCAAGGAGCCCAACAGTCAAACAGTGGCTGCCAGTGGGTTGGCCACTATTCTTGGCTTCTCACCAGGAAGAGGTCATAGACCCCTACAGAAGGGGGTCAAGGCAGAGTTGTGAGCAAGAGGTGTAGTCAGGGAAAATGACTTCTCTTTGAGTGGGTTGTTAGGTCCGGCTGAAATGGCCCAAGGCCTGCGGAGTAGGGACAGTGGATGACAGCTCTCCTAAAGGGTGAAAGGAACACCATGCGGGATAAGACCTTACTGGTAGCTCACCCCAGTTCTATTCAGTGAATAGGCAGCTTCTGCCTCCCGTGTGTGTGGCCCCATACTTCTGCACCGTGACTTGACCCAGCCACCTCCACCCGCTTAGGGTCAGATAATGACAGCTTTGACCCCTCCCTGAATAAATGACCTCTTTGAGCAAGAGTTGTCAAAGACTCAGCTGGAACTCCCGCAGTGGAACAATGACCTTGCTAAATCAAGGCTACAATGGCATGTGCTGCCATTCCTGGTCCCTGGGCACAGAGCAGGGGCTTTCTGGTGACCTAGACCCACAATGCCCCACTAAACAATGCAGTCAAGGGGCCTCTGTGACCAGGGGCCACTTACCCACATGGGCCCGTAAAGTGGCCATACTCTGAAGTATGGTAACACATTAAACCACAACTCAAAGTTCAAATGGGAAATTGGCTGAAGAGTTCAAATTTAAATCACTATACGGGGCTGGGGATATAGCTCAGTGGCATAAGTGCCTGTCTGGCAAGTGCAAGGTCATGAGTTCGATTCCCAGTACCGCAAAAATAAAATCACTGTACTGGCTGAAGTCTCCTTGTAGTGTGGACAAACATCATGCTAATTTATCCATTTTATGTATTTTACCTTGTATGAATATATGTTCTTCAATTAAAGCACACTGGTTCTCTTAACTGTAAAATAAAAGAAAGATTGGGATTTTCTTCTAAAAAACTAAATAAAAGCCAGTCTTCTAGAATTCTTCCAAAGTCTAGTTATGAAGGTGAAGACTGAGGGGTAGGTAGGACAAAGTGAATTACTGGTCACTGTTGGAGTTTAAGAAAGGGAGTCCTGAGGTCAAGCCCGTGTAGGGTGTGCATGCATGCATATGTGTGTGTGTGTATCTGTGCAAGCACACCTGTGTGTTTGTGAGCTTTGTGCACGTGTGTGTGTGAATGTGTGGAGTGCATGGTAGTGCTAAGTCTGTTCATCAGGGCAGTAAAGGCCTTCAACTCCTGGCAATAGATCTGTCCACAAGAAATCATCCGTTGAGACCTCTAGTCTCCAAAAGTCCTTTCCCAGGCTAAATTCTGTCTCTCCATTCCCATTTTCTGGGCAGCATCTGAAAGCATAATGGGGTGCTCTTGTATTCTTTTCCAATCTGCTACTGGAGGCCGTGTGGTCAGAGGAAAGGTTACCCCTGTTAATTTTCTAGTTATCAGGCACCTTGGGCAATGAGAAGGCAGAACGGCATCCTCCCTCTCCCCAGAACTTCTCACACAGCCTCCAAAGAGCTGTGTCCCGGTCCACATTTGCATTCTCCACCATGTGCTTTGAAGAACAAATACTTGTACACTGTGTTTTAAAGCCATGCTTGAATAAAGATTTCAAACCAGGGGAACAGCCTCGGGATATTTTTCACCTCCCCGCATAGATTTGGCTTTTTAGAGGCTATAAAGTAAACTTGGGGAAGGGCTTGGAAGAGGCTAGAGGCGGGGCTTGGAGGTGGCTGCGGGTGGGTCCTGGGAGCAGGGGGCGGGGCTGGGAAATTTGTGTTCAAATACCGGAAGCAGCTTTCCTAGGTAATCGCGAAGCGGACTGCAGGGTCTCTATCCCAATCACCTGGACAGGCGCAGGTCACGTGTGTCTCTTCAGGTCTCTTTAGCTTCCATTAAAGTGTTGCGGTTCATAATTTAAACATGGATTACCTCTAACTCAAATACTGATCGTCTCTGGTTCAAATTTGCTATTGCTGTGTTAAAAACCCATAGGGTTCTTTTTTTTTTTTTTCTTAGCGCTAAAATGGAAAATCCAAAGGATGGGGAGAGAAAGAGAGAAAGAGAGACAGGGAGATTGAGACTGGTTCAACTTCATGTTTTCATAATTTGTTTAATTTTTAAGGCACACAGGGTTTCTGATCATTTTAACATCTAAAAATACAAAGTCAGCACTAGTAACATCTGGTCGTCTACCCATTTACCCAGTTTAAGTGTAACACTACAAAATGAGGTTCAAAAATCTGACTCTTAAACAGATGTGCCGCAATGCAGACCCCACTGAGACATGATAGACAACACCTCCAAATCCGTGTGGTTGACAGAGAGAAGGCTGCTGCCATCAAACTGGGGCATCCAGTAAGCAGGGAAAGAAAGTGGGCACCGTGTTAAAGACCTTGTTTCCTTGCAAGGCATTTTCACCAAATCCCAGGGTTCCTGCTGTCAACCTGTGTTACTCCCTTGCAAATGAATCACCCATATTGCAGATGTGTGCATAGAGAATGAGCATTTTAGCTTCAACCAGCTCTCCAGGAAAGTGGTTTAGTGTGAGATGGCTGCGAATGTCAAGGACAAACCTACCAGGTCTTGAAAGGCGTCTAAGCAGCCTCACCTCTTTTCCAGGTCTGGGGTGGAGCCCAGCATCCGGCCCCCACACACAGCTGTGATGCAGGTGGGCGACAGGGTTGGAGGAAGAAAAGCCACAGATAGACCAGAAACTCTTTGAGTCAATCTTTTCCACTTCCGCCCTCACAGGACCATTTACCAGAACTGCCCAAGATAGTCACCATGAATTTAATCTCCCTGGGTTTTTCCAGCCTGACCACTAAATGAGATAAAAGAGCAATGCAGCAGTAGCCCCACATATCTTCATCATCATGATCACCATCATCATCATCACAGAGGAGGAACAAAGCTGGATCTCAGTGACAGCAGCTGTGAAAAAGAACCAAGGTGTGCATGACTCACATTTCAGTGCAGGCCAGGGGGTTCTCCAAGTCACAAGTGTTATGAGGGGGTCCCCTTGGAGGCACAGACTCCGGGGAGGGAAAAGAGAGGGCACCAGAGGAAGCTGGGACCAAAGGCACAGATGCGCCCCTCTTCCATTGCCTTTCCGGAGCCAGAGGCAGAGGCATCTTGCAGGTGGTGACCAGGTGGCTGGACGCATCACAGTGTGCTCCTGCTGATCCCCAAGGCTCTGCGCATTCTACACGGCCCCACCTCTTTAGAACCTGGTCTAAAGTAACCTCTAGCCATGTAGGGCTGAGCGTTTTTCTTTGCTTTAGGTCCCCTGTGGATGGCTATCAGGGCGCTACCAAGAGGTCCCCTCACCAGCCCTTTAAAGGAACAATGTAACATCCAGAAAAATGAATGAAATTTGCATAGTGCAACTGTGTTTGTGCACACAAAAAAGACTAAAGATTTTGAAGATGTTTACCAAGCAATTATCAGTAACCAAGTGAGATAAAATTTTAGGTGATTTCCCCCCCCCCCCGCTTTCTTATTTCTCTGATACTGTTTTAAAACAGGCATGTATCATTTTATAATTATAAAAAATAGTGTTTACATTTTGAAAAAAAAATGAAGCTAATATTTAAAAGGAGAAAACAGGCTCTGTGTGATTATGAAAACTATCAAAGATAGACCAAGTTTTCAAAAATGGAAGGAATTAAGCCCAAACCTAATTGGCTCTGAAATTTAAACTGCAAAACATATGCCCTGAATATCGTAGACTGTGGTGTCAGTAGATGTCAAAAACTTCATTTACATACAGTAGGCACCTGGTGTGTACGACAACAGATCCTGACTGAGCTGACAAGTTACTAGGCCATGTATCATTTGGCGTTTAATTCACACTATTAGCATTATTTTGCAAAAGATGGTTGGCTTTGGAGGAGATGCATAGAACACACTCTTCTTGAAGCCCAGCTCATTGAACCGAGAAATACAACAGGGAGCACTCCGGCCTCACTTCATCCTCTTGGCAACATCTGAATACGCATGCTCAATCTCCCGGTCGGCTGGACACGTATTTGTGAACTCATCCCTAGCATAAGCATTGTCCAAGTATCTCCAGATGCCAGTCATTTCAGGAGGAAACTCAAAATCTCTGTATTTCTTGGCCACAATCTGAAAATAAAGAGGAAATGATCAGTAAAGGTAAAATCCAGGAAGGGAGGCAATCATACAAACAATCCATTCTTTCGAGGCACATAGCTCAACTCTGATGTCATCGTACAGTCATCTGGGCTACCCACACTGGCGTTTTGACTTTGCATAAGGGACATCATGGGGACAGGAAACAGTTGCCGACTCAAAACAGTAGCTCCACGCAGTCCTGCTTACGAAGGTACCCCAGATGATCCTTGGGACTCTCGGGCATGAGTATGCCCTGTACTCTGTGAGTTCTGCCTGTGTTTCCTGCGGTTTTGTTTGCTTGCAGTTGTCTTTAATGCTACTGTGTATCCAGTGCACAGAGATTCATGGTGAATCTTCAGTGCAGGTTGTGTGGGGATCACTGTAAAGTGCCCTCTTTTCCCTGTTCGCTGAGCCTCACCTGCCACAGGCCTGAATATCTGTGAACGTCACTCCTGCAGACTTCCGTCATCCTACCACTCTGCAGTCATTTGACTGTGGGCGCACCCCATCGAAGGACAGACTCGTGAGCAAGACAGGCACAAGCCTTACCCAGGTGGAGACGGTGGATGTAAGCAGAGGGTGGAGGAGAGTGAACCTCAGCTGGTATGAGAAGCGGAAGGGAGCAGTCGGGGAATTAGGCACAAAGGAGGGTGTGTGACGGTATCAGTTTGCTCAGGCTGCTGTAACCAAGCATCACAAACAAGATGACTTAGAACAACAGAAATGTATTCTCTCACAGTCCTGGAAGCCAGAAATTCAAAATCAAGATGCCCGCAGTGCCCTGGAAGGCACTCAGAAGGATCTGTCCAGCCTCCCTCCTCGCTTCTTGCAGTTCCTTGGTTTGCAGAAGCTCAACCCTGGCTCACATGGCACTCTCCCTGCGTGAACATCTGATCTTGGACTCCCCCTTTGTCACTTCATCTTAACAGTCTGCATTTGCAAGACCTTATCTTCAAATGATGTCACACTGTGGGGTATGGGGTTAGCACCTCCACCTACAAATATGCGGTACAGGAAGGCACAGTTAAACCTGTACCAGGGACGCATGGCTAGGAAAACCAGTTCTGCTGTCACCTCCTGTCCCCCTGTCCCTGGATGTCTGCAGGAAGTGAACAATGGACTCACCACAAATTAGGTCTTTAGGACTTGTTTCTCAGGTTTTGGAGGATGGTAGCCATCAATGTGGGGTGGCGGCAAATTAGGACCAAAGGACTTTTAGAAAACCTCAAAAACGCCTTAACAACTTCCATCTAAATTCTAACTTATTGATGTGGATCTTTTGTCTATATTTGCCTTGATTACTTTTATCTGTCTTTTTATTCCAACATTTCTAAGTACATCTGTTAAGTATATTCCTCTAATAGATGGAATCTTGTTTTCACATTCTATTTACTTTGTTTTCTATCTTTCTGAGCATATGTGTGCATGGATGTGTATGTTTCCCTTCCTGGTGACTTAGAAGGTTTATGGTTTGTCTTAACTCTTTCCGTGATTTCCTATATAATTTAAAGTAATAGGAATTCTCTATTTCTTAATTTATCAATTTTAGATGCTATCTGCTGTCCTCATGAAAACGTATGAGAAAATTTGTAAATCTACACTCCTTTCTTCTCCCAGATTCCCCCTCCCAGCGTCATTTTACAGGGGTAGTCAAAACTATTTAAAATACATTATGGTGAAAGACACATTGCCATTAATCCCCCTCAGAATTCTCCCCCTCACTTCAAACACACTTCTCCCCTTTCTGGAGCAGCTCCAGCAGCCCTCGTTCAGGAGCACTGAAGTTCTGATCAAAAATATGATGAATGCTGCTGCTGCCTGCCATCCACAACAAAGGCAGGCTCAAGTCAGCACTACCGTGTGTCCTCTCAGCAGTGCTCAGCCCCTTTATTATGTATGGACATTGACTGTCACTATCATTGTCACTGCCACAATGTCTTTGGTAGGCTCACATACTGCAGGAAGACACCTATGCCTCATGCTGGTGCATCTTGATTATTAAAACCCAACCGAGCTCTGAGCTACATCCTGCGTATGAGAGCAGGTGCGACAGGACAGCAACAAGAAAATACAACTCAAGGACTAGTGATTCTACTGGCATATTTAATTGGCCTTTAACAAATTACACTTCAGGGTCTGCGGACCCTCATTCAGTGTGGCACAACTCACAATAACTGTGGTGTAGGACCAGTCTACACGCTCCTCAGCAGAAGACTGGACAACAAAAATGTGTTATGCATGCACAATGAATATTATTTAGCCATAAAGAAGGACAACATTGTGTCTTTACAGGAAAATGGATGGAAGTAGAGATTATCATGTTAAGCAAAATAAGCCAGGCTCAGAAGGACAAGCATCACATATGCTCCTTTATATGTGGAATCTGAAAAAGATGACATGCAGGGAGAAGGGAGGCGATTTTTAGAAAATAGAAAAAAAATATAATAAGTTTCAAGAAAGAAGAAAAAAAGTACCTTCAACTCGAGTCTGCACATGACCTCAAGACACTGTGCCCTTCTAGAAGTTGGGAATCCAGAACACAACACTCAGGGAAGGGTGAGAGACAGTGTCAGGCCATCTGCCTGGGAATGCCATCTCTGGAAAGGGTTATGTTTATCCCTACAGTTCTCAGCAATGAACTGAGTCCTGATTTTAATAGCCTCAAAAGCCACACATCATCTCAAGCCTCAAGGGTTCAACACTACAGAAACCTGTGAATTTCCTCACTTGCTTTCGTGCAACTTTCCTCAAAGCTTTTGAGGTCAGGCTGAGAAAAAGAGCAGTGGGGACAGGGGGTAGGGGCAGGTCCACAGATGTTTCATGAGAACTTCTGGAGCCATCGTGCCGTGTATCTGAAGCTTGGGGCTTGGCTTCCTCAAATAGAAATGAGCTAGCTTTTAATTCAAGAGTCTGCGTTTCAGATTGTTTAAATGTCTGGCTCAAACACAAGGCAAAAGAAAATCAAAAACAAAGCCTCATTCATGCATTCAGCACAAGTGGCAGGAAGAAAAACCAACCTTAATAATGTGCAGCTTGGGTAAGAGGTTACAGTCAGCCAGCGTGAGCTCATCCCCATCCAAGAACTTCCGGCACGAAACAGCGACGTCCTCTGTGCTGTTGGCATCTATTTCATCGGGCAGAGGGCTGTTTAAGTAATTATCCAGCTTCTTCAGGGCCCGTAACAGGTTCTTTTCATAAACTAACGCAGAAAGGCAAGAAGTTACCAAGATCAGCGATGCCAGTTAGCTCCACTTTTTCCTAGCAGTGAAGGAAGGAATGAACCCTAATCCTCCCATCCTGAGATGTGGTCACCCAGGGGCAAGTTCAGAACAAACGCCACGGGTGCAGAAGATCTGAATAACTCCTCATTTCCTGGAGGACTGATCCACTGTCTACAGAGCACTGCCGCTTCTAGCACTCTTCTAGTTCTTCAGAACATAATCATGGAAGCTTAAAATGGGATCAGCATGGGGAGAAGCATTTTCAAATCTTTGGAGGCACATCAGGGACCACCTCAGTAATGAACTCTTTTCCCTAGGTGGTGTTTTCCGGATTCCCAACTTCTAGAAGGGCACAGTGTCTTGAGGTCATGTGCAGACTCAAGCTGAAGGTACTGTTTTCCTTCTTTCTTGGCTGTCATCTCTACCCTATCCGAGCACCCACAGAAATTGCAGACTGGGCGGTGGGAGGCACTCACCCTCATGGGCATCCTTCTTGGTATTTTTAATAAACGCTGAGAATTTGGCAAACACATCATTTCCTGCGGAGTTAGATTCAGGGTGTTGGGTCCCCAGCTTAGGGTACCTTGAAAAGTTCAGAGTTAGAGATCACAGATAAGTAATACTTGAGTTAGGATAGTACCATGGAGGAAACTATCTCTCTCTGGGTGGATGTAAAAATGAAAACCTTTTCTTGATTATTTTCCTATTCTTTATCCTTCGAAGTTAGGAAGCTATGTGATTTGGGAGAACTACTCTCGATGGACAGATTTTTTCTTATTGATGACCGAGCCTGGGACCCGGGGCACCGGGTCATAATTCCCTCCCTGGTTTAATGAAGGTGATGGTTTAAAAGGGTCCTTCAGGGTCCCACACTCCATGAGGCCTCACCCTGACATGCAGCCTGACCTTCCAACAGCTGACCTGAGAGGTGCTGACCCCCATGCCATCCCACCCTAGCTGCCCGTCACAGGTACATAGCAGGGAAGTCCAGACCACCTTCGAACAAGGCTTCTAGCCTGTGGTTTCCTGTGGTGCCTCACAGGGGATAACAAAGGCAGCAAGAACTGAGGTTTCAGGAAACTGAACACACAGCTAAGAGCTTCAGAATGGTCTGTTTATGGAGCTGGAGGTACCGGCCAAGTTATGCAATCTGATCAGAAGGCCTACCTCGGAGGTGCTAACTTCTCCTCTAAGAACTCCTCAATCTTATTCACATCCGTCTTGACTTCACCATCAAAAGTCATAAAAGGCGGGTTTGTTCCGGGAGCCAGGTTTTGCAGGTCCGAGGGTTTCCTGGGTAGGAGTGGACAGCAGCCCTTGTGGGAAGCCTGGAAGATTTGCATTCGATCCCAAAGCTTTACAGTATCCTCCCCCTTACAGACACAACCTTTGAGAATTTCCAAGTAGACTGTGGGTTTCAGAAAGACTTACTTGTGATACAAGTAAAGATGAGTTCAATAAGTTGTGAGTTGGATTCATGTTTTTATGGCCCCTTTGTGCATCTAGATGTGAAAATATTAACTCTCCCAGTGTTATCAGCCAGAAACAGTGCTCAAATGGGTTTTTGAAAGGTTCACAGCTGACCTGTGACTGGGACAACAGGTTCCTTATGGCCACCAACTCTCCTCCTCCTGACTACAGGACATCCGCTCCTGTGACTTCACTGCTTGGCCCACAGTAAGGTTTCACTTCAGGCTCCTGACCATTAGATAGGCCTATGATACTGTCTGCAGGCCCTAGGCATTCGTATGTGTGTGTGCATGTATGTGTATGTGCATGCGTAGGTGTATGTTAGGGAATTAAATCCAGTTGTTTCAACACTGCTGAAGCCTCCTCTTACCTCTTCAGATCCACGGTTGTGACATTAAATATCACACCCTTTAGCCAGAGAATCATAAAGAGACGCTGAGAAAATGGACAGTTTCCAATACTCTCACCATCGTAGCCAGCCTACAAATGGGAAAAGAGATCTTTATCTGAGCCAGTCCCACAGTTATACATGCCAGACACCACGGTGCGCATACAAAATCATTAAAACCTCTGTGAATGGTAAGGGTGCTGTAAATAGCTTTCTGGGCCATTTAACTCAGAATACCTGCCAGGTTGGCGGTGGTTGTGGAGGAGGGGGGAGGAAACGCACACACATACATGCATGCACTCATGCACTCACACATGCGCTCACACACACAACACATGGAGCCTTTCCTTTTCCTTCCTTCCCCACCAGCTCAGCACTTCCTGCCATGTGGGGCCTCTGAGTAGCAGTTCAAATGGAAAGAGTCACAAGAGGGAACTTTGGCTGGGTGTGGTGGCACATGCCTATAGTCTCAGCACTTAGGAGGCTGAAACAGGAGGATCGCGATGAGTTCCAAGCCAGCCTGAGGACATAGTGAACTCACAGCCAGCCTGAACTGACCCTGTCTCAAAAATCCAAAAAAAAAAAAAAAAGAGGGAACTCTCTTCATTACCAAAGCCAGACATCCCCTTTCTCTCCCTCTGTCTGATCCTGGTCTTGTTTCAAATTAGACCAGCTGACTCCTCAAGAGAGACACTAGCAGGCTGGGGATTTAGTTCAGCAGCACAGTGCCTGCCTGGCAAGTGGGAGGTCATGGGCTCGATTCCCGGTATCAGAAAAAAAAACAAAAACAAAAGAGAGACACTATCTCTAGTAGTCTCTACCAGGCTGGTGGTCTACAGCATTTTAGCTTATATGAGTTCTAACATCCTTGGACCCACAAAACTTGTTTCTCCCCTCTTCTGATTCAGGAGGTGGTGTAAAGACAAGGTAGGGAACACCTGTATCTAGGAAGTACATTATAACACAGCTGGCATCCAGGCACACAGCCCCCGAGAGCTAGTAATGCGGCCCCACAAGATCACAAACCTCCTGAGTGCTGGGATTATGAGTGTCACCTCACCTGGCTCTAACATTACTATGTGATTTTTTAGTGATTTTTTTTATGCCTGATGTGCAAAGGTAGAGCTCAGACTATGCAGGCAGCAACTGAACAGTGTAAGCAGGGAGCAGGGAGTTCAGACTCTGCTTTCTGTGCCTGCCACACACGGTTAGGCCAACTGAAACTCAAAAGCCCACATGTACCAGACCTTCTGAGTGCTTGTGCAGCTTGGCAAGTAAAGAGTAGTGACTGCTAATAATAGTATTTCAACCTGCCTATACTTACATGTGCCTGTGAAGACAGGAATTTAGTAAGTAGCCTTGTAAGCTTTCTTATTCAATTGTTAAATTTAAGCTTGATATCATTTAGTAAAATAATTTAATAAGTTAAATTTTTAAAAAAATAACAGAAGTTGCTACTTATATATAGTATCTATAGTAAATATTTTATATAATGGCCAAATATCTCATATAATGCCCACTCAGTGTGTTCCAGGCAAGCCAAACTGTTGGACAGCCACGATGTAAAATAATTCCTTCCTACTGCCTCAAGGTGGGTCTCATCCACTCACACCTGAAACACAGACACAGAAATGTTCTGAACCATTGTCCTCCATTCCTGGGGCCCTCGGCAGAGTTGAAAAGCAGGTGTTGGGGATGACAGGGAGAGATACTTGGGAGATTTGCAATTCCTAGTGTAAGGGGTGATGGGATAAAGTTGAACTAAGAAGTTCCAAAATCTTTCTTTCCCTTCTCATATCTCCCCAAACCCAAATCTCTGATGAGGGTACAAGCCTAACAACATGCTGCTGAAAGGGCAAAGTGGTGGCTTGGATGCATCCTCACAGCTTGCTGTGGGGTGGATCTGGCGTGTCTCCCAGAGACACACTCTCTGCTATGGAGTGGACATTTGTGTGATGGAAACCTGGCCTCCAGGGGCGGCAATGTTGGGAGGCTACATGGAATTTTCAGAAATACTTAGAGACCTAATGGAAGAAGACTGAGTCATGGGGGTAGGGCCCTCAGAGTCCACTTCTGTCACATACAATAAAAAAAGAAAGGTGGGAAGAAAGCACTGCTATAATACAGAATAAGAAGAGGATATGGGGCAGAAAGTGAACCACTCACTTGGAAAGTGAAAGGAACAGAAATGATGGCTGAAGAAAACTGGACAACATGAACCGTACACTGAAGGGGATCCTCTGACTTTGTTGTCTTTTAATGTATTAATAACCTGCCCTGTCACCTTGGCAGGTTATTAATACATTAAAAGACAAAATACTGTAATGGCTGTTCCTAAAACTGAAGAAGATAATTAAAAGACAACCTAACTCTTAAAAGATTTAATCACCCTCTTCACCAAAGAGGGAATCCAAGTAACCAGTAAGCACATGAAAAAGTTCCCGACATAAGTAGGCACCAGAGCAATGCTAACTGAAGCCCTGAGAAAATGCCACAATGCACTCACCAGAATGGCTCTAACTAAAAAGTCTGACAGTACCAAGGACAGGCAAGAAGGCAGAGCAACGGGCATTCCCACTTACTGCTGAAAAGAGTGAAAATCAGTATAGTTACTTGGAAAACGGTTTAGTGGCTCTCTGCAAAGCTAAACATAAGGGCCGGGGATATAGCTTGGCAGCACAGGTGCCTGCCTAGCAAGCACAAGGTCCTGAGTTTGATTCCCGATACCAAAAAAAAAGCAAAACATACATTTATTCTATGACACAGCAATTCCGCTCCCAACAGAAATGAGTGCTGATGGGCACCACATGACAATTATGCAAATATTCTTGGCAGGTTTAGAAGATGTTTTGGTTTGTGTCTGGATGTCCCCCTGAAAGCCTCATGCAGTCATGGGGCAGGCTTCTAGAGTTTATGATTGATCCATGGTCCAATGTTGGGATTATGGGTGTGAGCACTACACCTGCCCTGGGGCTGGTAGTTTGCATACAGTATAAGGGAGGGAAAGAGGCTGCTTGCTGCCACTCTTCCCTTTTTGCTCTTGCTACTTTTGTTGTTTTCTGAGGCCATGAACTGTTGCCCTCTGCCATGTGCTACCCAGCCAAGTATGGACTGAAACCTCCACAAATTGTGAGCTAAATAAACCTTTCCTTCCTTAATTTTGGGCATAGGGTATTTCATCTCAGCAATGAGAGAAAAGTAACCAAGACAGTAGACTAGCCTCAACCTGAAAGCAACCTAGATGCCATCACAGTAGAATAAGTAAAATCAGTCATGGTATACTCAGGCAGTAGGATACTACAAAACAATGAAAAAGAATTAGCTACTACTATTAGCGATGATGTGGATGCATTGTACATACATAATCTTAAGAGACAGAAACCAGATTCAAAAGTCTTATATAACTCAATGTAAGTGGGGTATAAACAAAGGGACACTTCTCTACGGTTATGGAATTCAGAAAAGCAGCTGCCCTAGTGTAATGGTTTATACCTAGATGTCCCCCAAAAGCATCATGTTCTCATGGGTGGGGCTTTTGGGACGTTGATGAGTTATGGGGACACCATAGCCAACTTGATGCCAGGCAGCAGAGTCTGTTCAGAAGAGGCATATCATGACACATGACCCAGAAGGGTGTAACTCCCTTCCCATCTCTCTTTGCTCTCTCTGCTTCCTGGCTACCATGAAGGAGGCAGCTTTTCCTCCACCAAGCCCCTCTGCCATGCTGTTTCTTCTTGGGAGTCTGCCAGTTGTGAACTGAAACACAAACCAAAATAAACCCCTCCTTTTTTCAGTTGTGGGTGTCAGGTATTGTGTCCCAGCCATGAGAAAGTGACTAAGACAGATCTTGGTACCAGAGAAGTGGAGTCATTGCTGTCATGCTACTTGACCGTGTGGCTCAGGAGCCTTTGAAAGTAGTTCTCTGGGGGAATTTGGAAAGGTTTGGAGATGCCAGCTAATGAACTTCTAAAATTCTGCAAACTGAGCTTGATGAAAGATTCTGGTCAGAGCTCAGAAAACCAGAATGCTGATAGAAAAGCAAATGGTAAAGGTTATGGTCAGGTTTCAATTGGAAACAAAGGCTACATTGGAAGTTGGATTTGGGACCATGTGTGTTATTCTCTGGAAGAATATTTGTCTATATTTTTCTCATGTCCTGAGACTTTGCAGAAGACTAAGAGCAATGGACTAATTCATCTAGCAGAGAGAATGTCAAGGCAAGCCAACATGCAGACCGTGGCATGGGTACTGCTGGGAGCTTTTAACCAGCTGTACATTGAGAATCAAGAGCAAATGGTATAGCTGAGTGATTTGAAAAGTTTTCATTTTTCCCCAGAAAAGAAGCTTCTGTAATGTTTTGGTAGAGGAGAGTTTGGTTGATGAGAAGATTACCATTAAAAGGAAGCCAAATACTTTATATCAGGAGAATCTTGGAAAGATACCCAGAGAGTATATGAGAAATTAGCAAAACTTCACCTTTCACAAGTTCAAGGGTACAAAAATGAAAGACTGCTTTGAGAAGAAAGCCCCATAGCGTACTGCACAAGAAAGGCCACCTGGGAAACTGATTCCCCGGGGTTTGTTTCATGGTGCTTAGGCAGGCACTCAGAGGCCTCTGCAACCGTGATCTAAGGGGGCCTGGATACTGCTTGGACTGGCAGCAGACCTTGGTGTCATCTACGTGGTGCTGGTTTTACAGGTATACAGAAAGTAAAAGTTGTGGGGTCATGGAAGCTTCTACCCAGATTCCAGAAGAAGGCAATGTGCCCCTAAGAAGGCAATGCATGAAGCTAGGAGATTAAAGCCAGCAATGCAGTGGAGAGTCCAGGAAGGTGGAGAAGCCAGAAAAATGGAACATCTGAGAAAGCCACAGGTGATTACCAAAGCTAATCTAAGAGAGACGTCATGATAGCTGCAACTAACAATGCATTGGGATAGGGCTACTATCCAAGGCCTTTGTAGTTCACAACTTTGCCTTAGGTAGTGGACACAAAGGTATAGGGTTTAACGTTTTCCCTGCTGTTCCACAGGTAAGAGTCTACTTTGGGTCTCAGAGGAGATTTAGGACTTGGATTTTTCAGTAATGCTATAA